AAAATGACTTCATATCATTCTTTCTACGAACTAATTCTTTCTTTCTGCACTATATCCTTATACACAACCTTTCTTTTATATATTACCACCTCTGAATTATTTACTTTTATGAATCCGGTGTCCATCTTGTTGTGTTAATGAGGTATGGCAACTTGGACCGATGCATATATGTGCCTGGTCCTACGTTGTAGCTGACTGACTGACTGATAAGAAGTAAATTAATAAATCTAGTAAGTAATTACAATTTATCATTGTTAACTTGAATAAACTGATTATCCATATTGTTTTCATTCTACATAAGTGCAATTCTATATGAAACTTGAATTAATTTAGACATTATCATCGTTATAAAAATACGTTCTAGATTTTTTTTGATGACCATCAGTGTAGTTTGGAGAAATTGAAATCATTCAAGTATGAATTTTATTATATATTGATAGCCAGATAGTTATTGAAGATATAAGGCTACTTGACAACCGTTTCATCTTTTTTAGGTAGCCGCCACCCCCCGCCCTTTATGATCCTCAGATTGTGAGGTGAGCAAGTCATATTGCTAACTATATTACGGTGTTTTTCAAGGATAAGTTCTATTTTCAGAGACACCTAGTCGCAACAGAGAGAGAATGATGTTAGAAAAAGATGCTAACTGTAGCACTATTCATTACTTTGAAGAATTCAAAAAGTACAAAGCTGGAATAACAGAAGTACCCAACAAAAAATCTATGAGCAATCACCCTCACGTAATACTGAGGTCACAATGCCTAATCAGAAAAATCATCACTACTATCCTGATTCCCATTTTATGTTGCACAAGGAAAAAAATACCTTTCTAAGCCTTTAACACTACTGGAGTTAATACTGTTAACAACCCCCAATATTAATAATATTACTGACAAAAGCAATAGTTAGCATTTAACGTTACTCAATCAAGTCTTTATAGGAGTATAAGCCACTTTGATTGTTAGAAAGGGAACAAAAATGCATAATTCAGTGTTGAATTATATTTCCTATTCAAGACTAACACCTGATTCAATTCAATCAAATTTATTTATTAACCGAACATTTATAATGAAATGAAATTTATTATTTGCCATTGTTATCATTGACTTATAAACTACCTTGATTGGTTTAATAATTTCGTATATGCATATAAATATTACTATATATTAGAGTAAAGCCTGATGAGGATCTAATCGAAAACAATATTGTTCGCTTATATATGTTGTTCTAAATTTACAATATGGGAATATTTCAAATTTATTATTATGACTGAGAATGTCATTTAATTATTGGTCGATGGAAAACCAAAACAGTTTTCTCCTACAATCTTTTTATCTTCTTTGCATCGGGATAAAAGTATCCCTTTCCTGCAATAATAAGTAGTAGATAGTAGTTATTTGTTTAATCATAGTAAACAGTTGAACTAGTGACACAAATCAGCATTTAGTTCAAGTCATCACATTGATAGATCCATTTTATTTCAAGTCATGACTGTGATATCAAGCATGTTGAAACACAAGTTATAACTTCCTTATCCATTTCGAACAGTTACCAAAAAAATGAAGCACGATCCATCATCCGTTATTATCCATTCGAAGAATTAACATTGAAATAAATTTCATAAATCTGCATTGAGTTTACATTTAATATGTAATACACTCAGTTACTCACTAAAGACAATAGTAGATAGTCACGAAAGATCGTGGATCGGTTGAAGTGAAACACTAACACCGTTAGATGCTGGCTCAATAGTCTAGAGGTTAAGAGCTCGTGTACGAGAGAGAAGGTCTTGGATTCAAGTCACACATGAGGGATTATGGATGCTCACTGCTCATCAATCTCATATTAAAACGAAATAATCGTTTATTGCTTTCAGGTTTTCAATGGTGGTCAACTCATTATTACAAATAACTCAAAGCAACTACCTTATTAAATATTATGAAGTGATTTTAACTTATCACTATATAGAATAGATTGACGTGATAGATGTTATCAGTTAAGAGTATCAATTAATAACTTGAATTTCTATCATAATTATAACGATGTTATGATTTTGAAACGCTACTAATAAGCTTATCAAACTAAATAAATAACAGTGATTAGTTAACTAATAGTCTGGTTAGCGTTTTTTTAGCGAGTTAGTTTTCTACGGGATGGGATCTCTTACCCTATGCCCAACCCTCCTCCTTTATCCGAACTTGGGAGCGACAGTAGCCCCAATGGGGCTCCAGGTGGAGTTTTAGATAATATTAATCAATCGAATTGTGTTTCATCTCAAGTGAATATAATAATGTATAAATTAAATTTGTAATTAATTGAGCACAATGATGGATTTTACATAAATACCATTATGTGATATAAATTTTAAAACAAACTTTTATAGTAAATCTATATTCATTACAGATTGATCTCATTTGAGGTATTCCTGATAACTAAGTTTCATTGAACAACTATTTTGTCCTATTATATGACTGTAGAACAAGTCATTAAAAATTTTCCCTCAATGAGCGGTTTCATGCAAGAGCTTCATATCTTCAAATGAAAGTTAACTGAAATGAAGAAACATGAATTATTCGATCTATAAATCATTAAATCAATTGTATTATCCTTACTGAAAGACTTAAATATCACGGGAACAACCTCATGTTAAGAAATGGAAATGACATTTAGCACTATTCTTAATTTTTTGTTTTTATCAATAAATATGAAATTATTATCAGAAGAGAGTTTTGTGGATATTATAGTCATTTCAAAAGTTAAGATCATGAGTCCATCGAAGCTAGACCACCATGAAAAACCTGAAGGCACTGGACGGCGATTTCGTCTTGTTATGGGAATCCTCAGAAGTGGTCTAGTGGTTAAGCTCTCGCGTACGAGACCGATAGGTCCTTGGTTATAATTCTGTGGGGCGGAATCGTGGATGCGTACTGTTGAGGAAACCCACAGTAGGACGAAATGGCCGTCCAGTGCTTCCAGGTTTTCAATGGTGGTCTAGCTTCAACTGACTCATGATTTCAATCTGTGTAATACTATGTTCCTGATTTTCTCTTCCCTAGCTAACACCAACACTCTACCTACTACATATTTCTCCATTTTCAACATTAGGACATTTTTTCATTGCCTAAAAGGGAAAACTACCTGGTTTTAAAACTTATCACTTCTTAAGTTTCTGTTTATCGCTGCTCAAAGTGACACTTACACTCGCTCTTTTTTGTAACATTTTGGTCAATATGACAAAACATAGTTTCACCATGGTGGAAGACAAAGTAAACTTTGAAATTTACACAATCGGTTTAGTTATGAGTATGTAAAATAGACCAGACTTTAATTAATGAAACTTTCATAACTCCATCTGTCTGTGTCTGTCTGTCTATCTATTTATCAACTATTTGTGTGTCTGTCTATCTATCCGTTTCTCTCTGAGTATATATACATATATACTCGTAACTGATTATGATTACACTCAAACCAATCTATCGATCGATCGACTAAATAAATCATGATCTCCCAGAAACTGACGATATTCATAAATTCCTTATAATTGGAACTTGATATTGATCGAATAGTAACTATCATATTATTGGTAAAGTACTTTTTCTGTTTCTATCTCTAAGATACGATCTACATTATCTAGATATTCATTCAAATATTACAATAGATCTAATAAGCAATAAAACAAAACAGCATCATTATTTCATCATCTTCTTTCTAATTGGTTCATATTTTCCTAATTGGGAAAAAGTACACACAGTTATGTAAATGAATAAAAATGATCATAGTTGAATTCAAGAGTCAATTAAAGCTAGACCATCAATGAAAACCTGGATGCACTGGACAACCGTTTCGTTATAGTATAGGACCGATGAGCAGTGTGCATACATGATCTATTACGTGGGACTTGAACCCAGGACCTTCAGTCTCTTGCGCAAGCGCGTGTGTGTCGTGTGGAGACAGTTATCTACCTCAGAAAATGAGCGAAGGGTTGAGCAAGATCATGGATCGATTGAAGTTAAACATTAACACTATTGCATGAGGCTCAGTGATCTAGAGGTTAAGAGTTACGTGCGAGACCTTGGGTTCGAGTCACACGTAGATGCTCACTGTTCATCAGTCCCATACTAGAACGAAACTGTCGTCCAGTGCATCCAGGTTTTCAAGGGTGGCCTAGGTTAGATTGACTCATAAATTCAACTGCGAAAATACCACGGCTACACTACACTGAACTTGGTCATATCAGATGACTAAGGATAACTCTAGTAGCGATTGAGTTTCTGTGAGAAGTATATATCAAAAATGTAATGACAAGGAAGTCTGTGCAAACGTTTCAGCTTTGAGGATAGTTTACAGTTTAGATAAATTTTAAAACCAAGCAATGCTAGATAGTTGTTTCGTCTTATCGTAAGACTCATCAGAAGTGTGTATGCTGATAAACTTACCAAATAATTAAATATTCTCTACTTACCTTTGGAAGAAAGTTAGGGGTGGCCAAACCAAAACGTGGCATCAGTGCTTGAAATCACTAACTTGCAGTCTGAACCATGTTGGGAGATACAGACTACTTGGTTGGAGTCCGCGTGACTATCATAACCAATGGTTGGAGACTCTTGGTGACATGGCTCAGAATCGATCACAATGGCGTAGGTGTATACACTCTCTGTCTTCCCTTAAACTAAGAGATTAAAATCGCTTCATATCATTCTTTCTACGAACTAATTCTTTCTTTCTGTAATATATCCTTATATGCAATCTCTCTTTTATATATTACCACTATGGAAGAAAATACTTCGATGAATCCGGTGTCCACCTTGTTGTGTTAATGAGGTATGGCAACTTGGACCGATGCATATATGTGCCTGATCCTACGTTGTAACTGACTGATTGATTTACCGTTTAAACTAATCATAGCATTAATGATAATTGTCAACTGTTTATTAATGACTCACTTCATGACAAACTATCTACACATTCATTTATATTTACTTTCTTTTTTTATTATACAGAAATCAATACAAATTTCACTACAATCCCATTAGTTCATGTTACACCTGAATGTTCATTATTGGATGCATCAAAAATGTTATTACAATATCGTTTTCATCGTTTACCTATTATTGATACATTACATGGCAATGCATTACATATTTTAACCCATAAACGAATATTAAAGTATTTGCATTTAAATGTTAGTACTATTTTGTATAATAATAAAAATTGTTTACTATCAAGTATGAGATTTGGATGATTGTTAATTTTCATCGAAATGATAAAACCAACTTAATTTGAACCATTATTAAAAGTCTGAAAGTAATGGATATGCATTTTGTCCCAATGTGTGACTAACTCCTCCAAAGAAGAAATCTATGTTCTTACAACTGGTAACCGAATCTAGGACTTGAGATTCCGCCAGAGAACGCTTAATCTTTAGACCAATGAGCTGAGGTCAAATGGTTTACAAATTCAACTCTAATCAGTCCACGATATTGGTTGTCCGAATTAGACTGATAAGTAATTTCAATGAAATTCAACCATTTCAACAATCTCATACTGACAATTATCAGGTCCTCACTTGTGACTAACTTCAAAAGGAAGGTTCTGAAGTTCTAGCGAGAGGCCGTGATCAGATGATCTCAAACATGTCAAGTGTGAAAAAGGTACTCACAAATGACTATAGAAGATGGTCGCTCAAATCTGCGGGGTAGTTTAAACTAGACATTAACACCATTGGATCCCAGCTCGGTGGTCTATAGGTTAAGCATTCGAGCGCGAGACCGAAGGTCAGGGCTTTGATCCCTAGCAGCAGTGTCATGGATTTGCATTACTAATGAAACAGATGTCCACTTCTTCCTAGTTTTCAACATTTGTTTAACTAAGATCAGTCCATAACTTTAACTATGAGATCCAATCATTCTTTATTTTCATGTAAAAACTGAACTTTATTTTATCTCATATTCTTTTAAAAAATCTCTTTCATTGTATTGACGACAATTAAAGTGCCATCAATGCTTACTGAGTAGAACTTTGAATAATTTTTGCTTATTGTAAAAGGTTTTCGTTGAAATCTGTTCCTAACTTATTGCAAAAACTGAATTTACCGTGAGAGCGGAAATTTCTCTGAGGTCAATTCTTGAACGAGATCGTTCAGATGTTACTGTGGAATAGACTCAACTGGTAAAGAATGAATAACTGTTGAACTATCTTTAGCTTCAAAAATCGTATATCTCTCTTGACTAATATCAATTCATGATGAAAATCATTTTCTATTTAATCTACTGTTTAGTTTACACTTTGGTGTTTACCATTCTCATTTATATTTGCTTTTCTGTATAATTCCTTTTTTTTGCTTATTCTTTACAGAGGCATAATTTACCTCCAGCTAAATTTATATCTAAAAGTTTACATGAACTTAAACTAGGCACTTATATACCAAATGTTCAAACAATTACAAATAATACAACAATTATAGAAGCTTTAAAATTATTTCTAAAAAATCAAGTATCATGTCTACCAGTTGTCAATGATGAAGATGGTCAACTTATTGAAATTTATGCAAAATTTGATGTGATTGTAAGTTTATTTTGAGTTTTGTTTGAAATAATTACTGAACAACTTTGATCTTTAGCACTAATTAATGATAAAATATAAACCTTTACAAATAAATTCATATCTGAATGGGGATTTGTGGAGATGGTAGTAAATTTAATATTTGAATTCATGAATCAATTAAAGCTAGACCATCAATGAAAACCTGGATGCACTGGGAAACCGTTTCGTCCTAGGATGAGACTGGTGAGCAGTGCGCATCCACGATCCATTATGTGGGACTCGAACCCAAAAACTCTGATCTTGTGCGCAAGAGCACATGTGGAGACAGTTATCGACCTCAGGCAACGTATGAAGGGTTGAGTAAGATCATAGATCGATTGAAGGTAGATATTAACACCATTGGATTCTGGTTCAATAGTCTAGAGGTTAAGAGTTTACGTGCGAGATAGAAAATCTTGGATTCAAGTCACACATCAGAGATCGTGGATGCTCACTGTTAAGGAGTCCCAAACAGCATTAAACGAGCGACTTGACTTTGTTGACCAAATAATGTTCAAAAAAGTAGCTTGGTATAGTTATACTACTAACTAACTATATTAAGTAGTTAACCTCAACTTTAGAAAAATATTCCGGTAAGAAAACGACTGATGTAAAATAAGTGTAGCCTGTAACTAATCATGAAAATTGACAGAGTTAACACTTAATTAACAATCCATCTACTCTCCTTAATATTTAAATTGAATATCAGTATTATTCATGAAATATTATTTGAATAGATAAATAGATTGACAAACATGAAAGCGTTATTCTTCTACTTTGTTACTATAAGCTATGAAGAATAATAAGCATATTCAATACTGTTGAATTTCAGAACAATATTCTGTTTGATCAAGCAAATAAATTGACTATTCTATGATTTAATATAGATTTTCAGGTAATAAGTGTATATGTTTCATTTAACCTAATAAGTTTAATTCTCCTACTTATCGAGTTGAACAAACGAAACTGGTCGTATCATCACTCTATTTGAAGTCATTCCTGTTACATGTTGGTTTAATTTAGTTTATAGTATCGGTTACTATGTCAAGCCCATATAACTTGTTCTAGTTTCTGGACCGGCCAATTTATCCATTCTTCTTGAGTCACGTTTTGGGCTTGTTAATTGTTCACTTATTAACCTTGACTGTTTTTATCTGAGCTTATGTGTATGTACACTTCTTATCCTATTCACCACATGTCATTAGCTTATTTTTGTGTGACTATAAATATTGATTAAGGCTTGGTTAAATCTTCACTGGACGTCATTTCATTTCGCTCTCTTCTCTCCGCTTCGTCTCTCAGATCGTCTGTTCCGATCAGTGATTGTTGTCTAAATATACATCCTGACTACTCTTGTATATAATCATCGATTTAACTCGCGTTAGTGTATAACGGAATTAAAATAAGCCATGTACGAGGATGCATTTCGAATACGTATAATTTTGACAATTGCTAATCAGAAAAACATAGGCAGAGAGACGTAGCGAAGGTGAGCGAAACAAAATTGAGCGCAAAGAAGTCACGTAATCCAACTCGATTTAATCAAGCGTTAATCAATGTTTATTGTCAAACAAAAATAAGCTACAGACATGTGATGAATATGATAAGAAGTGTACACACATGTACACTCATATAAGACAGTCAAGGTTGATAAGCGAATAATTAACAAAGTCAAAACGTGACTCAAGAAGAATGGATAAATTGAACTATTCAGAAGCTAAAATAAGTTATGTGGGCTTAACATAGTAACTGACACTAAAAGATCTCATCAACTGATAATATATTTGAAAATAGTGAATCGCAATGGACTGATATTTCGAAAGATCCTCTGTGCCTAATACCAATTTGGAATTTTCTGTAATTTGAAGTCGGATTCGCATTTCGGTAGCGAAAAACGACTAACTAAACCATCAACCTATGATTATTTTCAACTACACTGGATAAACAGATCCAACCATTAGTATATATTGGACCCCGCTGGCCAGTGCCAAGCGCATAGTTACAAATTAGAATCCTAAATTTTATTGGATCTGCTGTTTCTCCTACGGTTTACTGTCTGTTACTTGGTCAGTTACACGCCCGACCAGCACTGTGGACCTTGGAATGTCAGTCTGGTCCCTATAAGTCTACTATCCGCAAACCCCTCTCTATGCATAGCCTCGAGTCCAAAAGTCATTAACCAGCCTCTACTACATCTGTATTTCAACAGATGTAGTTTTTAAACAGACATAACGAACTACATGACACTATAAATGAAAACTGATAATCATTCGTGTAAAGCCAAAAGTGGCTGGCTATAAGTAGGAGAGCCTATGAATATCAGACTGGCAAAAAAATAAGAATAGTTGAGTTCATGAGTCAATTGACGCTAGACCATCATGGAATTCCTGGAAGCACTGGACGACGGTTTCATTCTAGTATGGGACTCCTCAATAGTGCCCACCCACAATCTTGCTCGCAGGATTCGAACCTAGGATCATCGGTGGTTGCGCACTACTCACGGGTCCCATACTAAGACGAAACAACCGTTCAGTACTTCCAGGTTTTCCATAGTGATCTAGCTTTATTTGACTCATGAACTCAACTAATGGATTACTGCAGTCTCCACAAAAACCCTCTTCTAAGAATAAGAATAATCAATCGTTTGACAGTAGTTAATGAGTTGACTTACAACAAATAGAACATATATACACAGTAATCTAGATACTTAGAAATTATACAACAAAATTATAATTAATTATAATCCGAAAAAACCAGATCCAACTTTTGCAATATTTGTTGCGTTATCATAGAAAAGAAAATAGACAACAACAATTACCGGAAAATTTGAAGGAATCACTTGAAAGTATTAACTGTACAAACATAGATATTTTTTATAGGCCAATAGTAATAACATACAATGTGTTAGATAAATGATGATGACACCATCATTTAGTGATATTCTGTAGCAACAACGAGCGGAAAATAACTGGAAACAGATGTTTCATTGTAACAAAGAATCACTCACTCTCTTAGTAACATATACCCATGAATTCACATAAGAAATGATTCAAAACTCGTAATGATAAAAGACTGACTAAATTGAAAGTAACATTTACAAGTTTTAGTCCAGTTGATGGAATTTTTTCTTCTACTTAAGATTTTGAATCATGGTGCTACATGATCTGAATAATTCTGTTTATCAATTTATTGTGTTATTGAATCAATTGACACCAACTATATAATCCCCCGACCGTTGTTGCTACCTTGACGTGGTGGTCGGGCTTGCCTATAGTGATGAAGCGACCGAGTTATACTGGCTGGAACAGCCGTTCCTCAAGGTCCTACCATGTCAGACAGGTCGGTTGAAGAGCGGTAAAACTAAAAGCAACAAACCCAAGATCCGAAGGCGAAGTCGTACTGCTGACTGTACGACGGTGTGACAGCAGTAAGGCGTTTCCTTCAGACAACCAGCACGACAGCGATGCTGCCTTCCCACAAGGAGGGGTGGGGTTAGATATGGTCGACCCTAAAAATGCACATCTCGCTTTATCCCACGGATATCCGTCTCTGGCGCTAAGGTCTCAGCAAGTACGGAGCTAACACAAAAATTACTCATAAAAAGGTTGTGTGTGACCGACCTCAAGCAGTTGTCCCTTGGGCACTGCGGTCACGCTCTCAGGTCATTAAGACCACCTCTAATCCAATTTCATTTTCAGGTACCTCCAGAACAACCCTTCCACGGTGTGGGCAACCGGGAAGTGATAACCGCCCTCATACCTTTAACAGCACTCAAGACCAATGTATTCATAATCAACCTCCCTCAATTTTTAACTATTTAATTGTTTTTTTCATCATAATTTAAGGTTGGTTAAAATGTATACAATGATTTTTACTCTTAATAAAAGATAATGTTTTGTGTTTACTGGCCAAATTTTATTCTTCGATATTCCTGAAGATCAGTGAAACATGATGTAGTGCTACTAATTCATGCTAAGGTGCATATTACTTATGTTTACAGATATATAAGTAACATGTAACCTCAGTCGAAAGTGGAATGTCTGTGAGTAGAAGGTTAAGAAGATTGAAATGAAAAGAAAAGAAAACTGAAAGCAATCAAGATGACAACAGAAATGAAAGAATAATCAAGCTTGTAAGAGACTATTCATAGAAGATGTGCAAATGATGTATGGCTTTGATATTTTATTAAACCAATGTGTAATTGTGCATTAAACAATAAATTGGTTTTCCCCCTGTGCATGTATTCATTCACCACAATACCATTCAAATCTTGCATTTAATAAAACACTATTAGGTCACTTAGTTAGAATACTAAATGAATTCTGTTCTTAAATGTTTAATTTTAGAATTTGGCCATTACACGATCATATAACAATTTGAATGTTTGTGTATATGATGCACTTGAATTTCGTAGATTAAATCGAGATGTAAGTTTATTATTAATTAAAGTTCCATGATTTTTGATTGAGATCATGAAACGATTGATGTTAGATCACCGTTGGAAGCCTGAAAACACTGGACGGCCGTTTCGTCCTATTGTGAAACTCCTCAGCAGTGCACCCCGACCGTAGCTGCTACCTTGACGTGGTGGTTGGGCTTGCCTATCGTGTTGACCAAACCGAGTTATATTGACTGGGACATATGTTCCTGTAGGTTCTACCATGCCAGGCAGGTCGATTGGAGAACGGTAAGGCTAAAAGCAGCAACTCAAGGTCTGAGGGCGAAGTCGTACTGCTGACTGTAGAGGGGTGTGACAATAGTAAGGTATTTCTCTCTGGCAACCAATATCTGTAGCGATGCTGTCTTCTCATAAGGAAGGAAGTGATTAGAAAAGGTCGACCCTAAAACTTACACACCTCAACTTACCTCACGGATCTCCGTCTCCGGCGGTTAGGCCCTTTGAAAAACGGAGCTAACACATTGAAAACCTCCCACGAAATAGCCGTGCGCGACCGACCTGAAGCAGTTGTCCCTTGAGCTCTGCGGTCACGCTCACAGGTCGTTAAGGCCATCATTAATTCAACTTCCTTTTTAGGTTCCTCAAAAAAATACCCTTCCACGGTGTGGGCAGCCGGGAAGTGATATCAGCCCTCGTACTCGTAACAGCACACGAGGTCAAGTTGGCCACACTCAAATCAGCAGTGCACATCCACGATCCCGCTCGAGGGATCAATGATAGTCTAACATCAATCGGTTCATGATCTCAATCAAAAACTTAATAATCTTCACAACCCCATAGTAATATATGATTTATAATGGAGATTTTTATCCATATTCTAAAGTTATTTTCATCATAGACTCAAATTAACCAAAGGAAAAATATATCAGAAATTATATATCACTAAATAGGTATTTTGTTAATAGTTTTTCGTGACTCTTCAAAGGAACAGGCCAATGACTTGACACAAGAATGAACCTGTGTTAATCAGGTTTGATATAGCTTTATCCTTATCTAGAATATTTATATAATATCCATGAGTTTATTCATTGGAAACCATTCTTATTATCCATTGAAAAAGGTTAACGATATGTTTTCCTCTTAATGAATATTATAAGTAACACAATCAATTCTGATCATCAATCTATTGTTAACAACTGAATTGTAGGTGATTGAATGTTAAATTTATTAAGTCTACATGTTAAGTGGTTGGAGGCAAGTGTTGAGAACCACTCTGTGATTAAGATTTCGTGGTAGTTGGCACTCATCAGTAGGGTCTATCAATCATCTTGGTGGAGTTGATACTTTGATCAATACTGTGTACTCTAGCAGGCAGGCGGTTCGGTGTTCGATTAACAGTGCGGCACAGTTTTACCCCCAAATGCCCTCTCTCTCTAAAAATTCTCTCACATGGCCACGTGCATACAACCACTGACTGGGAAGTCTTATTCACTGCCTTCTCGTGGCATTATTGTTGTTTACGAGATTGAGAGGACGAAAGGCGGATGTCCGCCGCTTTAACCGGGTTGGTGGACACGGAGAATCCACCTGAGGGAGTTAGAAAACTCTAATTCCAAACCAGTGATGCACATGTGCTCCAGGATCTTAAGGGAACAAATGACGTATGAACCAATCGTTGGTTACCGACTACCATGGGACTGGATCTCCTTATGTTGCTTCACTGCCTTGTGAGTCAGAACTTTAGGTTGAAGACCTCGGGTGTGGCCCACCAGGAAAACCATCTGTTTCAGTTTAGGCACCCGGACAGTATCCCAGCCCTCACATAAATCGAATAATTTATTTGGCGTTTATCTATTTGATGCCTCCTTGTACCAAAAAACATTCAATAATAAATTAAACCAGATATCTTAATTTTAAAATTGGTTTATCACAACTCTAAAAGCTTAATAGTAATATTTTTTGACTATAAAATTTACTGATATTGACTTGAATTACACAAGGAGCTTGATTCTTTTTCAAGATATCCGAGTTGATAACTCTCATCTAACATAAACTATAGATCAATATCTGAAATCATTATCAAGTGTTTACAATTAACTAACAATACAGAAAATATCAAATTACTTAGATTGATGATTAGATTGTATCGGTGGGGGCTTTGTAGAGATTTTAGTAATTTCAGTTGTTGAGATAATGAGTCAATTGAAGCTAAACCACCATGGTAAACCCGAAGGCACTGGATGGTCGTCTCGTCCTATTGTGGGACTCCTCGGCAGTGCGCATCCACGATCCCGCCCCGTGGGATTCGAACCCAGGACCTACTGGTCTCGCCCGAGAGCACTTAACCATTAGACCACTGAGCCGGCCAGCATCCAACGGGGGTCGTTGAGGTCTTAGATGCGCACTGCTGAAGAGTCCCACAATAGGAAGAAACGACCGTCCAGTGCTTCCAGGTTTTCCATCATGGTCTAGCTTCAATTGACTCATGATCTCAACAATTGAGATTACACTGTAGTTTGATTAAAGGGATTTTGTTAGCATCATAAAAACAAGAAAAATACTATTACGTAACTAATAAAAAAAAACTTATGAAACCTTTAATACATTTGATTATTTCATATAATTCATTAAATATTACAGTTTTTTTCTTTAAATCTTTTACAATATATGATTACAGCGTTATCCAACTCCATTGACATGTTTAAAAACGGATAGTTTACAAGATGTTATGGTGAAAATTGTTGAATCCGGTGTAAGTAACCAATTAATTATATTGAATAGTTATTTACATTTATTGATTTGATATATGACGATAACTATCTGTATTCCATTGTTTAATATAATTGCAATATATAACATTTTAGAACATTATTTCGTTCATTTAGTGTGTTACTACTATACATAAGAGTTTAATTTTCATTGGAGATTTCATTTCAATCATCTAAAACGATTTGCATAAGTCTTCTATGAACATGCCATTGTAGTGAAATACTATCTTGTTGAATTGAAAACAAAAACAAATACTCAGATAGGGGTATTGTGGATATTATAGTAATTTCTAATAGTTGAATTCGTGAGTTAATTGAAGTCAAACTACCATAGAAAATCTGGAAACACTGGGCAGTCGTTTTAATCTTAGTATGGGATTCACTGAAGACAATGGTGAACGGTGGCGCAATTTCGTAGATTGGTTAAAGTTTGACATTCACACCGTTTGATGCCGATTCAGTGGTCTAGAGGTTAATGCTTGCGCGCGAGACTGATAAGTCTTGGGTTTGAGTCTCGCGAGGCGGGATCGTGAATGCATAATGTTCAGGAGTCCCACACTAGAACGAAATGGCCGTCCAGTGCTTCCAGATTTTCTATGGTAGTTTGACTTCAATTAACTCACGAATTCAACTATCAGAAATTACTATAATATCTACAATACCCCTATCTGAGTATTTGTTTTTGTTTTCAATTTAATAAGGTAGTATTTCACTACAATGGCATGTTCATAGAAGACTTATGCAGATCGTTTTGGATGATTGAAATGAAATATCCAATGTAAATTACACTCTTATGTATAGTAGTAACACACTAAATGAACGAAATGATGTTCGAAAATGTTATATATTGCAATTATATTGAACATTGGGATATAGATGGTTGTCCTCACACGTATAAAATGGCAAGGATTTAGCTACCACTTAATAAACTACAAATATATTGAATTATCTTAATGTTGTACTTATTTACAATCATAATAAAGAACATAACAGTAACCTTTAAGTATATATTAATAGATAGGTGTAGACTACCTGGTTGGGATCCGCGTAATGATAGCAACCGATGATTAGAGACCTTGAATGACATTAGTTCGAAATCGCTTGTAATGACACAAGTGCATCCACTCTTTGTGTTCTCCAAAATTCTAATCTTCTGAATTCTTCATGCCTCTGTTCTAATGTGGTATGGCAACTTGAAATGATATACGTAGGTATGAAGTTCTACGTTGTTACTGACTGACTGATATATTAATAGTGTGAATAAGGGTGAATAGCCCGTTGGAAATGTAAACAATATACAATCAAATAATATGTATATTGACAGATTTTCTTAGTTCGTATCCCTCAACATACAAATATAATAATAGAGAATCTGTATTGTTTTCTTTTATTATGTACTTCGTATCTACACCTATCGGATAATAACTAATCAGACAAGATTAATATTTTAACTTGATCTCATATAAACCATTTTAAAAAAATAACTATGAACCCCGGTAAGGGAAGATGTATTTATCTGTAGTTGACATCTGGACAGCTGTTCTACCATGATAACAATCAAACATTTGATGTGCAAATATACATATACACAAATAAATCTATATCGTGAGATCTAACATTTCTCTCTGTTGATTCAATATACATATGTATTTACATATTATAATAGTTGAGTTGAAAGGAAACACATTGAACTGATTATATACTACTAATATTGTGTCGGAAAGGTAAAAATGAGACGGGGAGGGGGCGTATTCAATATTCAATCTTGGTTGAAATATTTTCAGTTAGTGAATTTGTTTGCTATTGAATGATCACTAAGTTGTAACTGACATCAATATTTGTGTAATCCTTCAGTTTTACAACTTTTTACTGACTACTTCTAACTATTGAACATGGAAAAAACAGGGCTCTCAATAATTGAGTCAATTAGATTAGTGGATGAATTTCATCACCAGTAAGGAAGTGACAAACAATATATTGGTCACTATTCAGAGACTAATCAGTAATAAATGTCTGTCCTATGAGAGATCAGTCGCAGCCTGAATAGCTCCGTGATAATGTCTCAGATTTTGAAAATGGATGACACAAGTTTGAGACACACAGGAAGCGTTAGTTCTAGATACACTTTGCTAACGAGTATCAACTGACAGGAAAAACAAGTTTTAGAGTATCATCCTGGCTACTTCCTACTACCCTAAACAGTAAGTTGTTTTCGACAAAACCATGTCCTTACTAAGACCATACAATGAAGTAAATGATATACCGATATCCAGATTACAATTCAAAAGGTTGATCTTACCAATATATTTCTCCAACATAGCTTTAGGCATCTTACATATTTCCCTCTTTATAATACAACAAAATAGTTTGGCTACATACAATGATTGCTAATTAAGTTTCCAAACTCAACTTAGTTAACAATTTCCACTGTTAGATTTCATGGTAAATCACGTCCTACTCTGGGTATTTTTGCCGGGGGGTGGACGATATGCATAATGAGATTTTATAAGTGTCATTTAAGACAATACAAGATGATCGCTTCCATCCCTTAATTTCCACAGCAACCATATGCATAATAGGATTTCCAGCAGAACTTATCAATTTCCCATAAGAACTACTTATTTTTGAGTAAATAGGACACAAGATTACATAACTAGGAAACGGGTATTATAATTACCTTATTGTATCTCTTACCGACGTCATAGTGTAATAGAAATAAACACTTGAGAGTTAGTAATCTATTTTAGAACTCTTATATCTAGAAGCTTAGATCCTTATTATACCACGTACAACTAGAGCAGCACTCGAAGGCCAGAACCCTCCAAGTCGCAAATGAGAAAGGAATGTGAAAGGAATATTATCCCAAATAATGTCAATTATGGTACAAAACTGTCAGGTATTTATTCTTCCAAAAGATGATTGGATGGAATATCTTCGAGTCTTTCCGAGCTCTTTCGAGTTCATCCGTGGGCCGTCCTCACAACAACTGTAGGCAGAGAGAATTATGAATAAACAATGTGTCGTTTATAACACAAAATGAGTATAGATACATCATTGTTTAAAAACTATACTACTAATACAACTGCATCTCTCTGCTAATGTGGTGTGGCAACTCGAACTGATGTACGTACATAGGAAGTTCTACGTTGTTACTGACTGACTGACTGACACATTACTTATAGTTATTAATATTATCTATTTAAAGATATTGACTCAAAATCATTTTAGATTCCTTTTAATAATAAAGAGAAACTGATTTAATTTTCATAAACAGATTTCGTGTATTTAAGATGTAACATTGTACATTTGCTAATAGTTCAGTTTATCAACACAATATGATAATCTCTTAATCTGTATAAACAATTGACACTACATTTTACGTAATTTAAAGATGATTTTTATTACAAATTGTAATTATCTGATAAAGGTATTAATAATTTCGAAACTCCTCATCAGCGTTTCTTGTTGTGACTTTAAGGAAGGCTAGTTATCATGTGATTTATTTGCCGATCGAAATGTGACTTATTCAATCTTAGTACTGTACTGAATCAATGACGTTCGACCGGTATAAGCAGCCTAACATCCTTATTGGTCCTTTGTTCGTCTAGCCCGTCCGTCCAGTTGAGTCCAGAACGTCAATAACAGCTTCCACTATGCGAATCATTTATTCCTAACATACTTGGTTTATATACAAGCCAAACAGATCACATCAGACCACAAAATAGGAAATAACATTTATACAAGATCAAGCCAAAAAGTGGTTGTGAAGGTGGGAGACTGTAATCAATAAACTGAACATACTTTAAGAATAGTAAATTCTATCATAATAGTCTATAGGTCAAAATGAAGTTCATAATAACAGGAATATAAACATACCTAATCTAGTTACTGAATATATGTTGTATAGCATTAGTTCATCAATAATTCCCAGAAGTTACACATAATTTGATCTTCACTATGTTATAACACTTATTATACAACTTAATACGACAGTGGTGTATCCACTGACTTCAGTTATCGTACTAAACACTTTGTCAAGAAATCAGAGTTCCATTATTGAAATTTTTTTAAATTTTAAGTCAGTTCATGATATAACACCATCATTGTTCATTGTCAGTCTTAACTTGATTAAACCAAACACAGAACATGGTTTTCCATTAAGAAATTCATCTAGAAGTAAGATATTATTGAGTAGACTGATGATTAATTGAATCCTCTTTGTTCTATGTGACAGTCTGTGATTTCAGTAAACTCTTAATGTTATCATTATATTACTAATAATACACTCTTCCACAAATGAAAATAATCATGTGTTCACTAGTGACTGGCTTCAAGATGGACTTCCTGGAGTTCTAGTCAAAGGCCGTGACCAGTGAAGTACAATCCGTATCGGGTAAAGTCAAGTATCTATCTCAGGCAATGGATGAATGGTTATACAAGATCATGGGTCGATTGAAGTTAGATATTAACACCACTGGATGCCGGCTCAATGATCTAGAGGTGAGATGTTAGTGCGAGAGACCGAAGCTCCCGGGTTCGAGTCCCGCGTACGTAGTTGTGGACGCACAGTGCCGATGAGTCCGTTACTAGGACGAAACGGCCATCCAGTACCTCCAGATTTCCACTGTTGGTCCAACTTAGATCCATCATATATAGAATAATATTAAAATTAAGTCTCTCACATTCTTTATTTCATAAATATATTTTCTAGACCATCATCATTAAATCCCTTGTAATATATTCGTCGAACTTTATTCTCTTATTCTATATTCCATTATCACAATTGATTGGTCACTGAATGCTGATCAATGTCATGTGTGTTAAATCCATCTTTAATGCAGATCGAATCCTATCGACCAATTTGCAATGTAACCACTAATCTAAATGATTCGACATTGCATGCATTATGTTAAGATAAAATGGTGGTTGGAAATAGTTTGATTTACTGTGAAAATCTTTGTCGAATTATTTTCATTTTAAGTAAATCTAAACATAAACATACATAAATAAAATAAACAAAGAAACTGGTAGACAGATTGTTTTTAAAATTTAAACAACAAATCATTGTTATTTATTTCATATCATATAAACAATTGACTCATTCTAATAGAAATGAAGATTAATATTTTCAAATTACAAGATTGATGATGATCTTTGATAAATTTGTTTTTATGTTATTTTAAATAAACAGATTAGTTCACTTGGTATTATTTGGCTTGTATTTTCTCCCATTGAGGTTTAAGATTGTAATTGATCAGTTGGTTATTCGCATATGTGCATACTGTGCATATGCCTCGATATTGTCAATCCAAACAATATCAAGTGAATTTAAATTCACCCCATTGCACAAGCAAGTGGCTATCAGAACTCAGTAACTGATGAGTGGATAACGCGATGGCGTTTGAAGCGAATGGTACCGGGTTCGATTCCCAGAGTGTACATCAACTCTGAGATGCAAGTACATTCAGCTGACGAGTGCCAAATAGGGCGAAACGCACGACAAACTGGATTCCACTGCCAGCCACTATTCATCATTGCTTACAAAAACGGACTAGTGTTAGGATAACCGTTTTCTTTTTCCAATGTTCAATATAATATCTAACATGATCGAACATTATTTCATTTATTTAGTGTGTTACTACTAAACATAAAGGTGTAATATTTTTTGGAGATTTCCTTTTAATCACGTAAAGCGATCTACATAAGTCTTTCATGAATATACCACTGTAATGAATCTCATCTTGTTGAATTGAAAACAAAAAACATGGAATTTATAAGCAAAAATGAATAGTGGCTAGTAGTGGAATCTAGTTGGATGCATCGACATTTCAAAGCTGATGTTCAATCTAGGACTCAAACCCAGTACTGTTCGTTTTAAATGCTATCGCGTTATCCACTTAGCTACTGGGTTCAAATAGGACTAAACGTGAATCCTAGATTCTACTGCTAGCCACTATCCAACTTTGCTTGGAATGTTTGTGAATTAAGGCAATATCAAGGCGATCTGAACAGTATGCACATATACCAATAAGAGACTGATCAATTGCAGTCCTAAATAGCAATGGGAAGATTCAAGTAAACAATGCCAAGTGAATATAAATACATTGACAATTAAAGTTTGGGATGAAATCCTCAAATAAAGAATTATGCTTTCATCAAATGTAACATACAGAAACTAATTTTACGGCAAATTACCAGAGAATGACTGATGTCTCACATATATTGAACACTAAAAAACTGATAAGCTACAAATTCACGGATATTTTCCCTATCTCATAAATTACGAGTAATGGAGAAGATTTACAGTTTCATTCTAGTAGGACAGTGACTATCAATGAGATTATATCATTTTCGTGCTAATTAGCAACCACCAGCTGCAAAGCATATAAACAATCTTCGGAGAAGCGATGCGATTAGTAAGGGTTTTCAAGGCATAACACTCAAGATCATAGTAAGAGACGTTAAAAGTGGGTTATATATGTCTCACGACTGAACTATTTCCATTAGGATTAAGATATATTTACTGATTTGCATTCATCTCAACGTCTTCACAGTTGAATCTCAGATGTTGGAATTATTCTCAGGAGAGTAAAGTGATAGTATAAGATAAAAAGCCATGAGCAGAATGACTGCATAAAGTGATGGTATGAATTTCACTATGAAGTAATACAAAGAATATCATATCTAGAAATAAACATTCTACTAAAATAAAAGATCACAATGAAAACAAAATAAAATATTACATTGAATAAACATGATATTGAATTTAAAATGGAAGTAGTGTTGAACAAAGATCATGATAAGTCAAAGAAAGGTTTGGCTTTTTATCCCATATACCATCTTCCTCTACTGAAAATGGTTCCGACATCTGAGATTCACCTGAAGAAGTTGAAATGAGTGCAAATCAGTAAATATCTCAATCCTAAAATTACATTAATCGATCGTTACATATATATAATTGAATTCATAAGTCAATTGAAGCTAGACCACTATGGAAAACCTGAAAGCACTGGACGGACGTTTCATACAAGTATGGGACTCTTCAGCAGTACGCATCCACGATCCCGCCTCGCAAGATTTGAACCCAGGACCTGTCATTATCACGCGTGAACACTGAACCGGCATCCAATGGTGTTAATATCTAATTTCAACCACTCCACAATCGTCCAATGTTTAACTTCAACTTACTCATGAATTCAAATTTTTCATTTATCTCTTATCTTACTAGGTACATCGTTTAATTATTGTTGATGAAAATAACAAAGTTGAAGGAATTATCTCATTGTCAGATATATTGAAATTTCTTACAAATCGGTCAACTGATGATAATCATCATCATCATCCAAATCATCATCATAATAATAATACATTGAAACAAAGAACTGATCTTGTTCGAATTAAAAAATTCATTACAAATCCATTGCGTAATTCATATCATCAATAAATAAAACTAGTTTGTATGCATCATTCTTTCTCTCCGCCCTCCCCCCTCTCTCTCTCTTTGTATTCCCCTTTTTTCCCCAATGAAATGTTATAAGAATGATCAATCAATTTAACAATGAATGATTAAAATGAACATAACGATAACAATCACCTAGAACTAATTGACAGTTTTATAGGTTAACAATTAAAATAACCAACTCATAGTTTCGTTTATTTGCTTCTTTTTTTTAAAAATGTTACATTACTGTTACTGCTGACATTAGTAATATTGTTTCCATTATTATGATTATTACTAATCGACTTATTGTACTACTAATTATTTCACTCATTTCCTATAGATATAATCATCACTTATTCTTTAAAGATTCCTATTCTTTAATTTGAAATTTACTATTAGTTTTCTACTATTTAATTATTATTTTTCATGATACAATTAATGATAAAAAAAAACAATCTTATCAATAGAAATCATTATTTTTGTTCAATTTCACTAATCACTATGTTCTCTGCTCCTCCTCCTCCTCCTACTCTTACTCCTACTCCACTCCTTCTCCTCCTTCTCGATCTCATAAATACCAATCAATTTGCATAAATTACAATTTTATTCCTTATTTCTTTATTTATGTACATAAATAATTATTTTATATTATGTTTATTATTGTTCTTTTTCTTTTTATCTTACTATTAATCTCATATATGTGAATTGATATTTCACACTATAGATTTTATTCTATTCTTATACTACAAAACAGAAACAAGATCTTGTTTGCGTGTGTGTGTGTGTGTGTATTTGCCTGTGTCTGTATCTGTGCCTAATTTTCCATACATATTGTTTATGATATAACAGGATCTCTATGTGTATCCATGCCTCTTTTTTTAAAAATAATTTTACTGATTGATATATTAAATAAGAACTTTTATCTAAATTTGATTGAATAGTTTCACAATATTTGGGCGCCGATTTAATGTGAAACATTCAAGAGGAAGAATGTTGTATTTGTAAAATCTCAACAACAACAAAAAATGAATTTTTTGAAATAAATTCAACATTTCGCCTGGCAATCTGGTTGTTAGCGGGACATAGACTGGATTAAATCATGTTCAATGCATGCTTGCGTTGGCACACACTGAGTGGTTAATTCTTATTCAATCAGAGTTAGTCAATACTTAGTGAACACTCTAGAAATCTCGTGTAAAAAACTATAAATATACTAACGTTTTCCATATTGTGCTTCTTAATTCCATCTAACCTTGTTATTTGGAATATAATCTCTTTTCCTGTTCAACTGTGTTCTGATTTGGGAAACTTGTCGAGTGAGTCGGTGTCCAAGAGTACTAAGCAATAGGAATAGCTGGGTTATAACCGTAGGAGAGAATTACAACACTGATCCAAGGTTTTTCAAAGAAAATATAATTAAACATGAAAATTATCGAATATAAATAGGTACATGGTTCTCCGGTTTACTGTATACTGAATAAGTCATTCAATCAACGTTAACAATGTTTAAAGTAGGTATTTACATTAGTGTGTAAGAGACATGCAATGTGAAAACGAAAAGTGTTAAGAAAACAGATTATGTGTACACGTATACACACAATCCGTTATCTTAACACTTATCTTACAACTACATTCTTCCTCTTTAATGACTGATACATTAATTATAATCATAATAATGTCAAGTAATTGAAAGGAAAATTAACATCAGTATATTGCATCATTTGTTAGTGTGTTAGTAAAGAAACTATGTGGTTCTTAGGTGAACTTCATATCATTGATTGAATAGATTAAAGTTATCACCACGTATGAATAATCGATGTTGTATAGTACGTGCTTACTTAGTTATCAATGCAATTACGTACTAATAACTATTCACAAAATCGAATTTCAGTAATCAGCATTATCCTTAATGATCAAAATGATTTAAAAGATCATTTTTTAAATTATACTATTAGCTAAAAAGTTGACTAACGTCATCATTATATCGAACCATACAACTGGTACTTACTTACGCCTGTTACTCTTAATGGAGCATAGGGCGCCGACCAGGATTTTCTACAACCCATTCTGTCCTGGGTTTTCTTTTACAGTTCTATCCAATTGTTGTTCACTCTGCTCATGTCTGTTTCCATTTCTCGGTGTAATACGTTCTTTGATTTTCTTTGGCCCTGAGGATTCCAAGTGAGGGCTTGTCTTGTGACGCAGTTGGGTGCTTTGCTTAATGTGTGTCCTATCCACTTCCAGCGTTTCTTCCTGATTCCTTCCTCCGTTGGGATTTGATTTGTCCTATCCCATAGCAGATTGTCAGAAGAGGCATCGGCCTCGTGGCTTCCGAAGGGACTCAACTTTCACCACGAGGCGTCATAACTCTTCTAAATGAAGACCTTTTGACTCCCAGGGCAGAGTTTAAGTGATTTGAATAATTTTTTCTGGTTAGCGTTTTTTTAGCGACTTAGTATTTGCGCGATGGGATCGCTAACCACATGCCCAACCCTCCTCCATTATCCGGGCTTGGGACCGGTAGTAGTCCTTGAGGGGCTTCTCAGGCGGAGTTATACAACTGATGAAATGTTCATTTCTATATTTTTAATCTGAACATCAAAAAACCAGAGCTGAGTGGCTAAAAGTACCAGTTATTATTGAAAATTGTAATGTACATGGTAGTATGAATGAGATATGAAACTATAACCATTTATAAATCTTAATAAGCACATAACTATGTACCTCAGTTTACTTGGGAATTAAAGCTTCAGTTATAGTTAGATTTTGTTTGGCGTTTAAAAAATAGTACATTTTGTAACACAGTCAATGTTCTCAAGTAAGAATTTATATGATTCAACGTCAGTCAGTTCACTGTTTACATTCTTATTGTAATAGTTTATATATCACATTAATCAATATCTAGCAGTTCAGCTACAACAACCTAGTAAACATGTTGACATTCAAACAATCATTTCTTATGAGGAAAGATGGATGGTGACTAGCAATGGAATGCAGGATGCGTGTTTCATCCTATTTGGGACTCATCAGTTGCATATACCTGCATCTCAAAGTTGATGTTCACTTCAGGACTCGAACCGATTATCGTTTACTTCAAACGTTAGCATGTTATCCACTCAGCAGCTAGTGAGTTCTCATACCCAACTGCTTGTGAAATAGGATGAAGTATAAATTCACTCAGTGTTTTTTGCTTGTATCTTTACACTAATGTTTAGGACTACAGTTGATCAGTCTCATATTGGCATATATGAATCCTGTGCAATTCACTTTAATATTGTATTAGATCACAAGCATTATTAAGCAGAGAGATCAATGAAGACTAATGGTGAAATCCACCACCATTCATATCTGCTTATAAAGCCTGTGACACTTAAGGCAATATCAAGACAATCTGAACAGTATACACATATATACCAACAATAGACTATAAACATCAATGGGAAGATATAAGCAAACAATATCGAGTGATTCATTTCTTCATATTCAATACATTTGCAACCATAACGTCTGTGTTCTCACCTAATGGTTATTTTACAGATTAAGAACAATCATTATAAATAAACAGAATAGAGGAAGTTCTTCTTTGTGAATTATTACATGGGAAATATTTAATAGGCAATATACATGTGGTATATAACAGCATGTATAGAACTTACCATTGAGGTGACATGATCTTATTTCCGATTCTGCAATTTGATTGGTTAATAAATTTTAATGAACCATTACATCTGAAATATGATTAACCAATCAGTTTTTAATAAGTTAAATTCATGATGCTGATTGGTTCATAATCTCTTTGTTCAATATGAATAGGGTTAATTTGAAGTTCGATTCGAGAAATAGAGATTGGAAAACACTTGCTTGGTCTCATACCTAATAAAATTAAGATAGTGGGGAAATTGAAGTTCATTCTAAAAAAGAAATTCAATTCAACTTGATAATTTAATAATTTCAATAGTTGAAATCATGAGTCAATCGAAGCTAGACCACCACGGAAAGTCTAGGAACATTGGACGGCCGATTCATCTTAGTATGGGATTAGTTGAAGTTAGACATTAACACCATTGGATTCTGGCCAGCTCAGTGGTTAAGCGCTCGCGTGTGAGACTGATAGGTTCTGGGTTGGAATCTCGAAAGGGGTAGGATTGTGGGTGTGTGCTGCTGAGGAGCCCCATACCAGGACGAAACGAACGTCTCATGCTCCTGGGTTTTTTATGGTGGTCTAGCTTCAATTGACTCATGATTTCAACTATCGAAATTACTAAAATTTCCACAAAACCCTTCCTGATAATAATTTCAATAGTTAAGATCATGAGTCAATTGAAACTAGACCACCATGTAAAACCAGTAAGAACTGGATGGCCATTACATCCTGTTGTAGGACTCCTTAGCAGTGCGCATCCATGATCCTACTTCACGTGATTCGATTGATTCATAATCTCAACTATTAAAATTACTATAATATCCACAAAGAAACCCCTTGCGAATTTAATATGTTATTTTGTGTTTGCTAAAATTACAACTGGTTAACCTTTTAATGTTTCATGATAGTATCTGGAGGTACATCTCTTAAGTATTAAAAATTTCTATTATACTTAGCAATGTATGATGTTATTAATTAACATTGAATGAAAGGGAACCCGAAATAAACACAAAGTCTTAACCATCACATTTATTTTAAAGTTTTAGGCAAAAAAACTCAGATTTGGTTTATATAGAACAAAGTGCTTCCAGACTCTCCATGGTGGTCTAGCTTCAATTGACTCATGAATTCAACTATAAAATTGCTATAATATAAAAAAACCCTTTCTGATAATAATCATCATGCGCTCACTAGTGACTGGCTTTAAGAGGTAATTCCTGGAGTTCTAGTGATAAGCCGTGACTCGTGGAGTTCAACCGGTTGTGTTATGAGATAGTAGCTCACTGAAGACAATGATGGACGATGGCGCAATTTCGTGGATTGTTTGAATGTAGACATTAATACCGTTGGATGCCGACTTAGTGGTCATGAAGGTGACTAATAAAAAATTAATCCCCAGTCTTCTGAAGTGTGAAAAACATGAATTCAGCTTAAAAGTAGACAAATGTTTATTTTCCTGATGACAGAAACTGTACTTTGTTACATCATTAAATTCTTAATTGTAGATGATTATATTATTCTATTTTTTTAGATGTTCTTCTAGACTTATAACTTTATAATAACTAACTAAACTCTATTCATTACCGCTAGTTCATCTCGTGACCACTTGTTTCTAGATCATTTCCTTAATGTTACCATCAATATTGTAGAAAGTCCATCCATATACATTTCCTTCATACAAATCAAATGATTAAATGTGGTGCATATATATTTAGTTCCCCCATGTACCAATGTTTATTTGTTTAAATAAATAAATATTATTTAATCCCTTAAATTTATTTACATCCTTTCCTCCAAATGTCTTGGTATGGTCGAAGGTAGGAAGAGACAGCTCTCACATAACCATGTGTATGCAGCCACTGTCAGGGAATTCCTACTCACTGCCTTCTCGCTGCATTTCTGTTGTTTACGAAATTGAGAACGTCTTGCGCATTAACCGGGTTGGCGGACTGGGAGAGTCTACCAAAGGCAATTGGGAGCCCCTCATCCCGAATCGGTGGTGCACATAAACTCCAGGATCCTGAGGGAACAAACGGCACATGAACCAATTGTTGGTCACCGGCTAACATGTGACTGGATCTCCTTACATGGCTAAACTGCCTTATGGATCAGACCTTTAGGTTGAAGGCTCCGGTTGTGGCCCCCTAAGAAAACCACCTGTCTTGGTCTAGCACCCGTGCAGTATCGCAGAGTACACAGAAATCAAGTGACTTGTGTGACGCATATGTATTCGGTGCCTCTTTGTACCAATATTTATGTGTTGAAATAATAATAAATATATTATAGTTATGTCTGTTCATAAAAACTCCCAACTAAACTTATTTATGTAAGTGGATTCAACCTAATTAGTAATTATAGTTTTTAAATATCACAGATCGTAAGCAGCTGACAAGAACCTAACGAAATAAAACCAAGTCATGTTATTCTGCTCAAATCTCTGTTCATGCTCTCTTGGAATTGATCATTATTTACAGCCCTATCAGCTGACCAATCAGCTATACAGTGGATGAAAATTGAAACTGTAAAGGGGAATACTACTATCAAAAGCTGAATAATAATGTATACAGTTTATATACACCATAGTTTCTCCAATTACGTAGGCGGTTACCTTCGCTATTAGCATAAGTACATGTAACAGACACATT